CAAATAATATGCTGCCCAGTTAGTTCGTGTCAGATACTAGGTTTTAGTCCAGGCTTTTATCCTTAAAACATTTTAATTGCATCTGTATTTTTATAATTATTTCCTACCACTGAAACTGGATTAATTCCAGTCAAGACAGTGATGGTTTGTTCTGTGTAATTTTGTCCTGCTGCTGTTCTGAGGCTGGGGAGCTGCATTGTGTTCAGACAATAGCATGGAGCGAGATGAAAAATTAAAAGGATTTGTGTGTACAAGGCTGTGCCACAAACTGGGACACTGGGGAGGGAGAGCGAAGCCAGAGGTGTCTGGAGCAGGAAGCACTGGAGGTAAATGAAGTTTGTGTGCCAGCGCCAGCTCTGTGTGGAGCAGCCTGGCTGCTCCCAGGATCCCACGATACCCCGCGCTGGCTGGGCCACCAGCATGGCTTTGGGCCACCTGTGCCACATCCCGGTGTCCCAGGCACATCCAGGCACATCCACAGAGGTGCATTTCTCGTGCCAGTCACAGAAAAGGTTTCTCCTTCCTATGGAATCGACGCTGAACTCAGCAGTGAGCAAAGCTCCCACTCTTACAAGGCTTTCGTGAAGTTTTCATGGATTTTCTTCCCTGTTTCGTAGGTTTTCTTTCCTGTTTTCCTCATTCCTTCTCTCACCCTCTCTGGTGGTCTGCTCCAGTGATTTCCAGCTTTTTTTAGGTAACAGCCAAATGCTCAAATATCCCACAGAATCCTTTTTTCTTCTCCATCGTTCGCTTTGCTGCAATCCCAGCATCTCTGTTGCCTCTGCTGTTTTTCCTGGGCACTCTTAATGAATTGTCACCTCTGATCTGCTCAGTCATGTGGCTGCTGGTGGGGAGCCTCATGTTCACTCTGAATTTTTGCCAGATATGTAGACTCTGTTGTTAATATCCACAAATTCTGCTGTAGCAAAACAATGCAGTATCCCAGCTGAGATCACAGTCCTGTTGAGCAGCAGAGAGAAGACACAGGGATACTTTTTGTCTGTGTCACTGTAATAAAATTGTGAGGATTTTTATTGTTCTGAAATACATTAAGCCATTGTTGCTCTTGGCAATCTACTATTAACCCTCCTTCATGCTGTGATTAGCCTTCTATTCATACGTTGTTCCTTGTCTATTAAATAGATTTTAATTGAAAATAGGCCTCCAACTTTGTGCTTAGTGGCTTCAAAACTAATTGATTCTTCCTCAAAACATAAAGAAACCCTTTCTATCAGACATGGGGAGCATTAGGCCTTAATGGAGGGATGTAAGGGACTGGGGTTGGTGCCATTTCCAGACTGGTCAGATTGCATTCACCACTTCTCCCTTGTGCAGTGTTTTGTTTTTGCTATAAAAATGTCTTTCAGGTTAGAGAAATTACTTACCCCTATTGTGTTTTACACATGAAGTTGTTTTTATAACATAACTCGCTCCTTTGTGGTTTTCTCAAGTAATTTCCCTTTGTATTGATCCAAGTGTCTTTGGTTTATAAGTCCCAGCAAAGGCAGTAAGAGCTTTCACAAGGATATGCCATCCCTTTCTTGTACCTGCCTTGGATCCTGGCAATTTTAATTTGGATTAGTTTTGCCATGTGGTAAACATTTGGATTTATTTCCTTGAGAATTGAGTATTACCTAAAATATGTGAGAGGCAGACCTGAAAATCTTTGTGTATATTCCAGATATATTAGTGATATTTGGAAAAGTCTCATTTTGGTTTTAGTATGAAAAATACTTGGGTTTTCATTGTAAAAGGGAAGTGTAGTTAAAGTTCAGGAAAAAAAGTGTTATTTACCTCCTGAGGAGTTGAAAAACCATATTTGACAGGACCCCCTGCAAACAAAATGCCATCCTAGCATTTCTGCCTCTGTCTGGACAGCATTGCTTTTAACATAGCGTGGGTATGTGTGCCTGCAAGTATCTGTCCACATGACTCTATTCAAAGATAATTTATTTATTGGCTTAAAATTACATTATGGAAATAATCATACCAGAGCTGATTTCCTCCTCCACTCTTCCTCCAAATCATTACCTCAGTAAAAATATATAGGGAAACAAGACACTTTAGAACCCAATTTATTATCTCCTGCTGGTAGCAATAACCTGAAAATAACAGCAAATAGTAAAATTCAAACTTGAGGCAAGACACTGGTGCTGGGAACAGCTGCAGTTGCATTTATAAAGGATAGATTCAATATAACAGCTATAGAAGTGTGCAGTGTTTGAGGCTCCCAGATTAGTACTTGATTGCTTTTTCAAGTTTATTCTATAGATTGGGAAGAACACAGGATTTTAAAAGGTATGAACAAGCATAAATAAGCTGCTACTTGAATCAGAGATGTTTCCTCCCCTCCCACTCTTTGCTTCCCTGGTTTCTGCCTTTCACCTTCCTCCAAAAATGTGGCTAACGATGTTCTGAGGAAAATAATTTCACAAAGAGCACTTTCTCTATATGAATTCAGGAAAATACCACTACAGAGTCAATTATTGAATGAAATCAGAAGGCTGGCCCATTCCTAAAGGTATTCCTGGCATCTGTGTTCATTTATCATAGGCATAATGTCAGTTTTTTTTCCTGAATAGGACATCCCCAGCCAGGCTACCTGTGCCATTTGGAGGCTGCAGTGTGTGAGAATTTTGGCATTTAAAAGGTTCACAGAAAAAGTCCCCCTTATCATTCCTTTATAATTGAAAAAAAAAAAAAAAGAAAAATTTGTTACTGTATAAAAGAATGGCAGTAAAAAAATAACATCAAACTTTAAGATAAACCAGATGGAAATGAGAGTTTTTAATCAAATGGCTGAAGGAATGAAATTATTTTTTAAAGAGTACCCTGCTTGTCCATCCTGTCACTGTGGGTGGAAACTCTCTCTATACCTGCCAGGTGTTGGAAAAGGATGGCATGGTGTATGTATTTATTATTACAGCTTGTGGTTTTTGTTCTGGAGTTTTTGTTTTGTTATTCCTGGAGACTGACTGGAGGATTGCAGTCAGTGGAGAGTGAGGAGTATAAGCTGTCACAGACTTGGTATGTATTTGGGTATTTGATCAGAATGGTATTTTCTGATTTACCTTTTATAGAATGCAATCAGGGAGAGGAAGGCAGGGATTTCCACCAGAATGGGAAGAAGTCATCCATGAATATGGGTCGGGTGGTAGCCCCTCTAACATTTTGTAATAAATTATTCTTTATTTTTTTAATCCAAAATCAATTTAAAATAGTGTTGGGTACGCTGGTTGGTTTCAGAGGAACCATCCAGCTGTATCTAGGCTTCCACATCTAAATAGTTTAATTCAGTATAGAAACAACCTAAAAATCAGTGAGGAGGGAGGAGAGCAAAGCAGGACTGGACTTTATTCCTGACCATTTGTACTCAGTTTTAGTTCCTTTCATTTCTCCAAGACAACTCTCAGAAAACTGATAGTTTTGCAAAGCTTGATGCTGAGAGGCAGATTAAGTCATGCATGAGGCTTCTTGGTAAAATAAATACTCTTATCCTTAAAACTCTAATTTTTATCTCATTCTGTCTGTCACTTCATTTGCAAGGTATCTAGAAAAGGTCTCTTTATGTGAGCATTGAGATGAATTGGATTTGCAGCACCTCATTCTAATCTTTAAATGAACATGTCAAAGGCCTTACAGGGTCTCAGAAAACATTCAGAAAATTGTCTTTTTTAATAATGTATTATCTTTCAGCCTAGAATTAAATTACACTGTTGTTTAAGCCTGTTATTCTGATGAGTTGGAATCATAAGCACTGATATTGGTCTGAATATCACTTCAGACTGATAGGTCTAAACTCACCTTCAGGATGTGCAAATCAGAATTTGAGGTTTTGAGCGCTGAAGTCTTGTGTTTGAAAAAAAAAGTTGTGTTTTTCTTCAAATGATTAATTTTAAAGAAAATGGTGTAATATCAGAAAAAGGAAAGATTACTCATATATTGGGCATGTTTGTACAAATTGTTTTAAAATCAATTCCATGCATGGAAGCAAAGAAAAACAGACATGAAAAATAAAAACGAGGATAAAACAAACTCAGTATCTATAAAAATTAATGAAGTCTTGGTAATGCCATGGCAGAGTAAACTCAAACAAGCCTTTGCCTTTTGAAAGACTGCTTTGATATTGATTTATCTAAAGAGGCAGCCAAATTCAGCCCATAATGTAATTAAAATGCAATATCATATAATGACTCAGAGGACAGATTTAAGAGTCTTTGTTTCCCTTTCTTTTCCTTCCTCCCTCTGCCCCAAATAAAAAGGTGAGAGAAGTTAATTGAATCTAGAAATCTCTTATGATAAATGAAAATACAAAGAGAGTCAACTTTCCAAATCCATTGTCAGTATCAACTAAACTGGTGCTTGGCAGGGTTTGGGATTAGCTCATTTCTGGGATAAGGATTGGAGATCCATGGGTTCAGGCAGCTCAGGTAAATGTCTCTGCTCCTAGGCAGGGAAGATGCTTCATGCTTTTGTTGGTGCAGAGGAATCTGAGAGCTCTGCTCAGTTTTACTGGAAGTAGATGAAGAAAATTCCAAGGTCTGGACACTGCATCTATAATCCAGAGATGGAAGTGCCCCAAAGGGCGTGGGGATGGGGAGAGTCTCCTGCGCTTGGGTTTTACTCACCTGCCTCTGCCTGGCTCCCATTTGCAGTGGGAGCTTTTTGGATTCCCTTCAGCATCTTTCTCTTCACTCCTGTCTAAAGGGGTCTTCTTGGTCATAAATGTGGGGATTCGATCCCAGTTTGTTACTCCAGCACTGCTGAAAATCAGCATTCAATCTAGTTTTGAAGCACCTGATTACCACTAAGAATAGTCTCAACTAGCTTGCTGAATATTGGTGATTCAGATAAAACTTTTAAGTGCCTTCCTCAACACAGAATTAACTTTTTGCCCTGGGAGATAAGACCCTGAAAAATCACTGGATTTTGGTGCATTCTGGAAAAAGGCCAGCTGGACAGAGTTACAGCCTTGATTTTCTTTTTTTTTTTCCTTTTAGTTGCCAGACCAGTGGATGGGAAGCTCTGCCAGGGTCCTGCTCCTGCCACCTCCCAGGTGTGTCACCTGCCATGCCCGGCTGAGTGTGCGGTGTCCTCGTGGTCACCGTGGGGTCCCTGCCTGCCCGAGAGCTGCCAGCACCGCCACGGAGGGAGAGGTGAGCAGGGAATGGAATATTGCAAAAAGACTGCAAAAACAGGGAGGTCACATTAGACACTGGGAGCCTAATGTGTTTTCCAAAAAAAAAAAATTAATCTAACACAGGGTGAGAGCTCTTGGATGTGTGTAGTGGAATCTGACCTTTAAAAGCTTTTTGCCATAATTCATGTGAGAAGAAAAAGTAAGATTTTCCAAGCTGATTCAGGTCCTTTTATCCTGCAGTGAATTTGTGCAGGATGATCTCTTGGGCTGGCAGCTGCCAGGCTGCCCATCTCCCATCCCCTTGGGAGTCCTGCTGCATGCCTGGATTCCAGGGCAGTGTGTCAGGACGGAGGTGCAACCCACAGCCCTGAAATCTGGACTCAGGCAGACCCAAGAGAATGTTCTCATTGTTGTGGGTTTGGTTTAAGTTCCTGGAAGAAGGATGTGCAAATGTAATTCAACCTCCCCTGGATTTTGGCTGCTGTGCATGGATGTTGCTGTGACACATTGAGATTCCTCTCAGAGCCTTTCCTAAGTTGCAAAGATGGCTCTTGGAGTGCATGTCAGGGAATGGATATTATTGTTTGGAAATTATGCTCTTCTGAAGACTGCTCAAGTATGTGAAATGATTTCACACTGATCAAATGATTTCAACTGGTCAAAAATTTTTGAACAATAAGAGAAATAATAAAAAATAATAATATTTGCAAAAGCATTTAATGTTTAAATTGTTTTGAATAATTTATTTTTGTTCATTTGAGAACTGTGGAAGTTTTATCTGTAATATTCTCTGGGATATTTTATTTGTCATTTTCTTTTCTGTTTCATGACCAAATCATTTCCATGTGGCCTCTATTAATGCTGCAATTTGCCCCCACTCCATGACGGTCAGAGGAAAAACCTCCATGAATTTTTTTTCCACCTCTTTTTTAAAATTCTGTGTCATTTACATAACAGAACTTGCTGAAGCATACTTATGTATTAGTTCTGCATTGTATATAGCAACATGACTTTGGTTTTGTTCAGAGGAGGTAGATTATGTAATCAGTTCTATGATTATTTTTGTAACCTTTTTCTTCCACTTTACATTTGAATCTTCCAGTTTAATAGGATGTCATTTCAAAGAGGTCTGATATGCATTATGTATCAGAAAACCTTACACCTTCATAAAACAGAATACTAATTTCTTAGTAAACTGCTCTGCTGTGTCTCAAAACAAATCCTTTCGTTAGTGGATTCCCAGGCAGAACATAGATGTCATTTATATCTTCAGTTCCTTATCTGTTCCTCTCTTTTTATCTTAATGCTGTTATAACATTAATATATGCATCACCAGTAAATTTCTATATTCTGACGTGTGTATTTCTATCTAATGTTGATAAAAGGGAAAAAGAAATGTGAAAAATGTGGGTTGCTGGAATTCTTTGCACACTGTTAGATTTTGCATGCCTGGGCACCTGCAGCCAAGTGCTGTCCCAGTCAATGCAGTCTGTAAATATTGTTCTCTTGTTTGCCTTTAAATCCCCCAGCTCCAGATGCCCCATATTGTCCTCTGGCTACCAGATTATTACATTAATATTTTTTCTGTTGTCCAGTTAATTCAGCTCTGCTTTTTCCAGGCTTTAGGATGAGACAGAGGCAAGTGATCGTGGATCCAGTGGGGACCCTGGCAGGCTGTCCTCATTTGGTGGAGTCTGTTCCTTGTGAAGACGCACGGTGCCACGAGTGGGAGGTGTCAGAGGGCGCCTGTGTGACGGACCAGGGGCAGTGTGGGCCTGGGCAGCGTGTCCTGAAGGCTGTCTGCAAGAGCAGGAGAGGTGAGCTGGGCTGTGCTCTTTGTGCCTTCTAAAATGGCATTTTGTTGCAGAGCAATTGTGATTATATACAATGGCTCCTTACTGAGTTTTTTTTATGAAACTTTCAGATTTTTGAGTTGACTGTGTTGCTCTTGAAAGCCTGGGGCTGATAGAACCCAGGACTTTGCCTGGAGCCTTTTGTTCCATTTTATCCGAAAGGGGATGGCTCACCAGTGCAGGTTGTGTGTTGTCAATGCTGGCCTTATTACCACAAAAATGGGATATTTGTACTAAATCAGGGCTCTCACTGAGGTCAGCAGCTCTGTGGGCATTCAGAATATCAATCCAGCTCCCAGAACTACTTCCATCCTCAGTTTTTAGCCTGTGGTCTGAATAATTCTCTCACTGGGATAACACTGTTACAGTCACGAGCAGGGATGCTCGGTTGTGCTGCCAAAATTAATACAAGACTGAGATGTAAATGAAATGATTGTACTGAGTAATCCTTCCCTTGGCAGCAGTTTGAGACCTGCAGAGTGTTCAGTGTACAAGTTGCTAATAATGAATAAGTACATTTTTATGTGACGTTTACAAACAGCCAACAAGATGTTATTTCTTGTGTATGGTTTGAACCTCAGCCAAAAGTTTCATTTCTTGATAAGGTCACTGTTGTCAGATCTTTAGATTCAATTACATGGAGCACAATTTTGCAGTCCTTAGTCACAGTGAGACTGTGCTATCATCTCAAAAGTGGCAAAATTGTGCAACTTTAGAGCCTGCTACTGTATGGGAAATGGAGAATTCCTCTTTTACCTGGTGGTGAGACCAATTGCAGGAAACAATTTCAGGGTGGTAACAAGCGGTTAATTGCTAAGTGATTAATAAATACAGTCGGTTGTTTACGAGGCACTAAAACCTCTAGAAAGAAATAAATAATGGCTGCTCTGCCTGGAGAGCATGCATTCTCCTGAAATATATTTAAATCTGTGTGGTTTGTGAGAATGGGGGAAAAATGAAATCTTCAACTGTTACAAAATGACACAGGTAGAATGTCCAGGAGAGCAAAGGGCTCACTTTGAATTTTGCCTGAGTGGTCTCTGCTGATGTGTGATGATTACTGTAGGTCCAGGCCAGCAGGATGTGTGCAGATGGAGGCTGGCATTGCTGAGGAGCACCATGTACTTCACACTGTTAAAGCTGTGCCAGCATCCATCTCTGTGCACCAACTGGTGCTGGGGACAGAAAGTGTGCTCTGTGGCAGCTGCTCATTGATCTCTGATCAAACTGTTCTCTGTGGCAATCATCCTTCAGAAGCCAGGCCTTTGAAGTGTCTCTTCTTCACCCAATTGTTCAACAAGGTATTGGAAGTCTCACAATACCCTTTTCATTTCAATTATTCTGTGCATGTTCTAGTTACAAAAAAAACCCCCCAAACGTTAGGATACTCTTTCCACCCTGCCAGCCTGAGGCAAGCATTGCCACTAGATGTGATCATTGTCCACTTAAAACTGAGAAGGTTCCACCAGGAAATATCCAGTTACCAGGCAGGTTAGAATCACTGAGTAGCTTAATGCTACTCAGAAGACTTTCTGAAGTCTTGATTGAGTATGAGAGGTCTGGAAGAGTCCCTAAAGTTGAAATTGGAAAAGGAGTCAAATTGTTTCTCCTTCTCTCAATTTACTAATATAGTTGCTTTGTTCGTAACCTTATTTATTTCCTTCTGGAATGTTCTCTTACCTGGATTTCCTTTGCGAAAAGTAGTCTGCTTTTTTTTTGGTAAAAATTGGAGTAAGTGTCAGCTTTGCTTAATGTGTTTTACCTGGAATAGCTGGTTAGTTGGCAGTAGGAGGTCAGAAGGGAGTTATGTTCAATGGAGATGTGTCATTTACAGGTGAAATAGCATAAGGCCTGTGTCCATGCTTAGCATTGTACACATGTTCAGTATTCTGTGCAAGCAGTGGCCCTGCTGAAAGCTGGATTGTGTGCTGCTATTTTCATTTATTTAAGTGTCTTTTGTAGAATTCCACTCTAAAATCCAGTGATTTATCCAGTCATTCTGTCATCCATGCTTGGCATTATTGCTCAGTATTCCTACTGAATGACTGAAGGTATGAAAAAAAAATTTTTTTGGGCCCTGTTAAATTCCAAAATCCAGTATCATCATCTTAACAGTTAATTTGGGCTGGAGTGTGTTGATTAGGGTACTTTGGGTTGTCTTGTTACCCCTGCTGGCAAGACACCTTCATTTTCATGTAAATGCCAGACTTTGTGGCATGAAGCTCACTTCTCTTCAGGAGCAGCTTCTGTGCTGTTGGTGTGAGCTTTGCTGCCTGTGCTCGGCTGCGTGGCACTGGGCTCTTCATGGCTCAGACACAGGAGCCTGTCTGTTCACTTGCCAAAAAGGAGCTTTTGGTCACCACATTTTCTTTCTCCCATGTACTGTCCGTGGTGCCAGCCCATGCCATGAGAGAGGTGGGCAGGAGGCAAGGGTTAAAGAACCTCTTTCTCCAGCTGAAGCTTCACCTTTGAATCCCTTGTCCTTTCTTTCCATGTTAAAGAGCCATTCTTTCTGGTGAGATTGTTACACCGGCCCTGATAACAAACTGCTGCTGGCCTGAGCTGGAGCTTGGGATTTGGGAGTGAGTCACAGATGGGTCAAGCTCTGATTTGTGGGGTTTCTCTGAAGGCTTCCCTGTCAAAACAACATCTGTGTGTAAGGGCTTGCATGAACTTCAATGATGTAACACTTGTGCTCAGCCTACAGGTACAGAATTTGTTTCTTGAATAGGTCAATCTGTAATAATTAAGTGGTTCCACAGAGCACATACTATGGACAGCAGGGTTTTATGTAGTATCTGGAGTTTGTAATTTGTGATTTGCAGCACTTTAGCACAGATGAGGAGTAATGAGAAGACAATAGTAATCTCATTACTTTGTCATTATTAGGTGTCTGCTCCCACCTAGGAGTGTCTCTAATCTCTGTTAATAAGTTACTGAACATGTGCAAATACTCTCAGTGTCTGGTCCATATCCCTTGAGTGCTTCTCTTCTGTATCAACAAAAGGCAGTAGTGTAATAAGTCAAATTAAATTAAATAATGTGTAGAAACACAATGTGAAATAATGCATGGAATAAGGAAAGAGTTCTTTTGTATGCTTCTTCTAAATAAAATTTTTCAGGATGGTGTTTTTTTATTTAGCTGGTGAAGGTCAGTGGATATGTTTGAGAAAGTCTGTGAAGACAAAAGAACAGTATAGGAAAATTGATGATTGTACTAAAAAATGGATTGTGTAAGTGTGTCATTGGCTACACTGATCTATAATTCAGTTAAAAGAATTCATTTGAAAGCTCTTTTTTATGTTTTTGGACACCTCAGGAATTATTTGTGATTTTTCTCAGAGTGGTAGTTTTTGGCTGTTCACAAGGGATTGAATAATTGCTGTTTGTAGTGTATTCTTGGGCAGACAGCTGCAAGTGTCTGACATTTGATTTTGGGCAGCCTTGATTAGCACCAACAAACATTATTGTGCATTGACTAAATGAAAAGAACTCCCTGTAAACTTTCCAATTCACAAAACATGAACATGGTCATAACTTCATCATTTTCAAATGCAGTTGTGCAGTAGCCAAAGCGTACTGTGCTTCATTTTTTGAAGAGAATGACCAAAATCATCTTTCGTGTTCTTGGCTTCTTTTGTCTTTTTGAGTGGTACAAGCACTTTGAGTGTGGTGAGTCAGGGGACATTGAGACAGCAGGGCTTGGCTCAGGGTCAAGAACTTCAGTCCAGACAGGAGTACTTGTCCTTCAGAGGTAATTTCACAGTTGTTTGATTTAGGTGCTACAAAATATATAAACATGTTTGGTTCAGTCTGATGAAGGAATTTGGGCCCCTATTTTATTGTAATTTTCCCATATCTATTTTAGGCTGCACTGATAATAGAAAATGAGATTGAAACAAGACAAATGTTGAGCCAGACCTTGTTTAGAAATGCCCGTTGTGCAGCTTGTGCAGAGTAGTCATTATGGTAAGGAGTACAACCTGAGAACATACGTAAAAGCAACTATAACAATAAACTCATGAAATAACAAGTATGACTCATAAAAGCAACAATTCATTTTCCAAGCATTTTATAAATGTTTCTGACAATGCCATAAGCGAATTTTTGCCTATTAGCAGTGCTCTTGAGTAGATCGTAAAATGTTATTATTCAGAATCATACCCACAAGTCATCAATCTATTTTGCTGCAATTCCCATGTCATCATTTATTAATTTGCTTCTGCTTGTTCAGATTCCTGCAGAAGAACTATTAGTAGCAGAGGATTTCTCTGTGACAGCGAACAGAAGGGTGTCTAAGTAATCAAATGTATGAAATAAGTCATACCCAAAGGCTTAATTGTTTTAATCAGAAAATTACTAGATCAACAACAGGGATTAATGCAAAGGTCATGTGATTTTGCTGGATTCAGCGGCTCTTCTACTCTACTCCCTGTTAACAAATCTAAGTGCAGCTCAAAAGCTGCTGAGTATTTGCCTCCCTATACTGTCAGCTTGGGTGTCCACGTTTTCCCTGGTTTGTGGCACTTAAAATTCATAGAATGAGAGAATTGTTTGAGTTGGAAGGGACTTTAAAGATCATCTCATTCCAGTCCCCTCTGCCATGGGCAGGGATGCTGCAAAGGTACTCAGAGCCCCATCCAACCTAGCAATCCAAACTTGTTATAAGTGGTGTTTCAATTTAAGGGCAGTATTTATAACAGTGCTGAGTAACCTCTCTGTTCCTTATGCATGCAGAGTTGAGGCAGTGCCAGGCAGATGCAGGTGCTGAGCCAGAGGGGCCCAGGATGCTGCTGACTCTGTCCCCCTGTAGCACCCGAAGGACTGGTCCTGGTACCTGCCACAAAAATCCATCCTCAGCACCTTCTGCCTCACCTGGAGCTCTGAGGTACCCTGGGGGTGTCTGTGCATCCTTCCCAGCCTCAGCTGATAAATGAATCACACCTGCCAGGTCTCAGGACTCA